TCAGTGAATCCAGAACCTAAGCCTAAGGCTGCAGCAGAAAGTGCTCTGGCTGCTCCAAATGCCCCATTTACATTCAAAGCAGATGAACACATCCCAGGGAGACCATAAAACCAAGACTGTGCAAAACAAGCTTAGAATCCTTAAGTATGATCTAGAGTGACTGTCTCACAAACTATTACAGTCTCATATAAATAGTATCTAGATCATTACAAACATATTCTTTTAATTCTGCCTCAACAAAGCAGTACAATGTTTCAATGACTTTGCATTCAATTTAAATAACTGCAATTTGTATTAAAACTTTAAAAAAAAACAACACCTACAACATTCATTAGAAACTTCTGAATTAACATTTAACATAAATTATTTCCTGAGCCTTATATTTTGTATTTTATTCACTCTGGTAATTTAATGCCTCATCTTCTATGAGAAAAAAGTCTTAAAACCATAGAAAAATAAATACAGATTTTAAAAACCAGCAAGAGTAGACAAGGTGCTAAATATGGCTTCCTTTACATAATTTAAACAGCAGAACCAAAGTTCTGGAAGCAGAGGTTTCCTTACACTCTCTACTTCCTGGTAGCTCGCTGCCTGGCTTATGAGTATCAAAAAAAATCCAATAAACAGAGAAAGTTTGGAAGTTTGCAACAATTGCTAAAGCATTTGCCAGAATGTGATGGGCTTATGCCTAATTAAACAGCAATTTGCTTTTTCACTCACAAGAGAGCGACATAAAAAGTGCATTTTAACCGACTCTTCTAAAAACATGACAAATAACCCCAGCTTCTCTCTCAAGCTGTTGGCAGCTACAACCAGAAGAACAGAAGCATCAAAGGCAAATATAAAATAAATTAGAAGCATTAACTGAGATCCTGATCAGTTAATGCTTTGCACAATTTGAACTAAAGACAAATTTGAGTAAGAGCTTTCTCTTAAGTGCAAGAACAATGGAGGAAAAGAAAACTAAGATCCACACAAAAACAGAAGACAAAAGAAACCTGAAATGGGTCAAGGCAGTCAGAAGACCCTGTAGGCAGAATATAAGTAACAGCCACTACAAAAACATGAGCATCACACAGATACTTCTTAGCTTGTACACTGAAACAGAAGTATTGGTAGCCACTACTGACCATGCTTCTCTCTGAAGAATAAATGTATTTATACATCAGTTATTTAATGACTTTATATAAACCTAGCCAATATATTTTTATGGACAAATGCTTTCTAGGTGCACACAGGAACTCAGAAGCAATTGAGTGTTGCTGTATGACAAATAGGCCTGAATTTCCATCTGTTGGAAGTCTATTACACAAGCTATCCTTAATTACTGGCAAAGAAAAGTTATCATCAGGAAAATTTACTCATACTATTTATGATAAAAACATGTTTTTTGTATTTGTGTTGCTTGATCAAAACACTGAGTCATGTTGCTGCTTAAGTATTTCTACTACTTCATCAAAAACAAAAAACTGGAACTGTTGGCATTTAAATCACTGCAAGGATCAATAATAATCTGGTAGACTTTCCTCCAGTTGAATGCTTTCATTCCTCAACACCTCTCAGGAGCTCCCACCCTTGCAAAGAGAACCAGGAGTAGAAGAAGAAGGCAAAGCTGCAATTGCATCAGTCTTTGGATTTCTGTGAGTTCACCCGCCACATGTGAGCAGATACTGATGGAGAAGCTGCAACATTTTCTCCTTTTTATTTAGAATTATAGAAGTAGCTGTAGAGAATCTATATCTACCATATGTATAATAATGGAGATACAGATACAAGCAGACAATTGTTATATTACAGTGTTATTTCTCTCTGTGACTCCAAGACATTCAGGAAAAATACTTCAGGAATTTCCAGGGTATGAAAGTAAGTTTCAGGAAGAGTAAGAAGAAAAAAAATCAACCATGGTAAAGAAAAATTACCGACACAAAATTGCTTAGATTGTAATGTAAATTCAGTAGTGAATTTAAAGGGTTTTTTCCATTGTTATTTTTGACGTTTTATCTTACTCAAAATAAACAATACAAACCCACTCAAGATGCACATTCATTCTCTCTGAAACTATTTCCTCCTTGAGATTTTATCTCAGTAAAAATATGCTTACTGGCTGAAAGAGTAAAAGATTAAGCAACACATAAGTCCAGGAGGAAAAAAGAGAGCACCCAAGCCTATTTTCAAAGTTGTAAATAGATGCCATTAAAGGAAATGCTAGTGATAAAAAGCAGATTTGTTTTACTGACTACTGATTTAGGGGAAAAAACTGCACACCCAGAGGGGAAATATTCTCCTGTTATTATTAACCAAAGCACAGTAACATACAGATACACACAAATATTTGAATTGCCAATAAAAAGCACTTAAGAAATAAACTGAAGCAGCATAGAAAGAAAATACAAACAGAGAGGTAAGAGACAGCTGGTGTTTACAATTAAAAACACTAAACATTTAATGTTTCAAGAAGTTATAAATTACCTTCAGAAGGAAACCCACAAGTTTCTTCAAAAAGAATTGTTTTGTATTCTACCCACTTTCAAATACAGAGGTGACCCACAAATATAAAACTGGAGATGGAAATGTAGTGTAAAGTCCTTGTCCAAAGAATGACCAACTAAATAGGCAAGGAAACAGAAAAGTTATTTTTTTAGGAACTAAACTGCAGAGTAAGGACACAATGGTGTTTTAGAAAATCCATTAAAGGATACTATGTGTACTAAAGACTGAGTTCAGATTTCACCTCTTTTAAGTAGATAACAAGTGTCCCCATGGCAGCAAACACCAGTAGAGGACATGTTTGAAGAAAGAGATAATTCAGGATTAAGGTTAAAAAAAACCCCAAAGATCAAACCACACCACCTTTGTGTGTAAATAGTATATTCCACCAATAATTTCAATTTAGCTTTTATCAATATTGCTCTAATCCCTGAGAAGTGTCATTTTATGAAGACAAACATCCAAAAGTACAGTCACTAGTGAGGTGTAGCTTGTTATGGACTCATGTTACACAGGACTTTCCAAGTCTGATCTATGGCTCCTGACTGAATCATAACATACTTGACTTGTATCTGTCTCAAAATCTGACACACAAAAATACAGCACATGAGGCAAACAAGACATTTACAGACTATAATTTAAGATATGTATAGTCTTTCTTGTGTTCAAGAGATTAATTTCCTCTTTGCTTACATATTTCTGTATAGATCCCTGAACCTATACAGCTCTCTTTCATATAATGAGCTAAAAGCCAAAATACAGCAGTAACCAAAAGATCCAACATACTTATGGTTCAAAGATGTTAAACCTTCAGCTGCACTGCAGTAAATAAAGAGGTCTTTTCTGTTAGGCAAACAGAACTAGAAATGAAAGAGAAGTCAATAGAAGTTCTAATATTTATTTGTCTCCTCTTTAACATACTGAAAACATTTGCTTAATTTCTTGGAACTTGGGGGATGGATGAGCCTAATTACTGGCTTTATAAACAAATACAACTTCTGGTATGAAAACAAAAACACTATCAGGAAAAAAACCCATCCAAAACATTTCTCAGAAAATGGAAGACTACTGAAAAAAACTTGCTTGATCTGAAATAAAGATTTTTCTCTCTGTTATAAATACAAATCTTTTCACTGTTTGTTAGTTCAGCAGACCAGGGCTGATTTCTCCCATCTCCCTCTTTGCTATATCCAAGTGCTCTGACACATTAAGGCACAAGCAAATGCTTAGAAATCATAAGAATTGTTTCTTTACTCTTTTGCCATAACATTCAGGAAAGCTAGCACATACATCAAATAATTTTCACTGGTAGCACTGTCAGATATCTGACCAGACTGCCAAGAGAGACTGAACACTTTCCTTGGAAGTTTTCTTGATCTGATGGATCGAAGCCCTGGGCAACCCCACCTGAATTCAGTGTTGGACACATTTTCTGCAGGAATTTGTACCAGATGACCTTAGGAGACCCTATCTGAATTACTCTATGAAAGTTCTGCCCTTGACTCCTTCAGAAAGCCTCTCTACATATCTCCAGAGCAGCACAGCAGCAGTTGTGCTGGCTACAGTTCCTGGATGACAACGAGTATTCCCCTAGAATTTAATTTTTCTTCACCATTGCCTTTCTAGATTCACCTATTGTTTCTTAAATCCTGTAAGATCTTTCAAGTTTCCTTTTGTTCTTCATTTGCATGTCTGCACTTGCAGTCCTGGATTTGTAGCGAAGGCTTCCAGAAATTACAACAGAAATAAAATAAAAACTAAAGTAAAAACCAAGAAAATTACTCAACATCAAGCTCCAGTTTAAGGACTAAAAAGTAAAAATTCACTTGAATGACAACAACATTAGTTTCCTAGTAGTTAGGAGGAAAAACAAATGGAAAGACTAAAACCTAATGCAATTCACCAAATAGACATAGCAGGTTGATATATACTTCCCAGATTATTGGAATGCTCATGAAGGAAATGACTGTAGGAGAATTTGGAAGGAGAATAACCCTAACAAAATCAAATTTAATTTTAAGAGACTAATTAGATTTATAGTGTTAAGAGGAAGGAAAGGAAAAATTTCAAATCATCTGTATTCAGATAATGCAACTGTCAAGAGAAACTGCCATTAGATTTTACTAGAGAGAGAGGAGGAAAATAATTTTGCTAAACTGGGTATCTATTTAATGCAGGTATTCTCTTAGTTACTAGTTACTCTTTGCCAAGATAAAACCAGGCATAACGCACCTACTAAACTCTCAGAGTAATGTGTGCCATATCCTTTACCTGACATGCCAAGATGGAAAAAGCAGCCAGAACTGCTTGCATCACTTTCCAGTTACCTATTTCTCACTGGCACACTGCTCTTTCCACTGCTTTTCTCCTATGGTAAAGTTCTGCAGGTGAGCCGTGGACATAGGTGTGCTGCTGTAAGAGAACTGAAGGAGCAGGAATTGGGAGAGGCAGGAGAAACACGCAATCTGAATAAACGGAACAATCCTCCCAGCTGCAGCTCCCCTGTTGCTTACGAGGTCACTGCGAGGAGCTTCCTGGTAGTCTGCAGAGAAGCAGGACAGGGAAGAGCTCCTGGCGCTGCTGTCGGCGGCCGGCCGCGGGGGCTGCGCGTACTGCCGGTACGTGGCGCTCTTGGGCGTCCAGCGGAACAGGTTGATCGACTCGCGAACACAACGCTCAATATCGATCTCTGGAAGAGATTTGAAGGAAAAGCAAGAAATTCAAGAGCAAAATACCAGTGAAGTGAAGCAACCCAGCTATGACATTGCCAAATATACATATACCCATCTATACCTTTGTCTGTCTCTGTCCCTTGCTCAAAGGTAACATAGATTTCAAAAGCATTTTCCCACTCAAAAAGAAAAACACTCCATGTTTTTTTTTATTAAAAACTAGTAAAGATATTTTAAGAATTAATTTGATTCTGTTTAAGAGAAGTGTATGAGAACTTTAACCAACGCAAAGTCAGGACAATAATTGAAACCTAGACGTTGTCAGGTAATGTAAAGTCTTTACAAGTCAAACTATTGACTATTCAATGTAAATTTGGGCAGTTCATCAAAAGTAGATTTCATACAGTGTACAGACATCAGGATTTCTGGATCAACTAAATGTATTATTTGTCAGTTAATCCTACTAACAGCCAGATTGAAAGATTTCAGCTACTGGATTTTGTATGGCCTGCCATTTTGACAAAGCTACATGTTATTTGTTTGCAGGAAAACATGGGTTTTCAACATTAATTTGTGCTTGATGGCAAACATAATGAATTGCTTTAAAGATTTTAGAGAATGTTTTAAAAAACCAAACAAACAATACAGTCCCAAACCCAACCAGACATTCCCAGTGAAACATGCTAGCTGAAAGAGTGAAGTGCCATTGAGATAACACATTACTCAACTTGAAAGGAAAACTGATACCTATCAAATGAGACGCATCCTAAAATTAGATATGGTCAACTAAAAAGCAGAAAGGTACAATGAAAGACATATGTAAAAGAAAAAAAAGGTAAACCTATTGAAAACATATTTTTTACAACACTAACCATCCTGCATGTATATATCTTCTAACAAGATGTAACATAAAAGCCATTTACACTTTTACCACTATAAAAGGCCTGGTTGGTTTTGCACCTCCTGTATGTGGTCTCACGAAGAGCAAAAACAATCCTAGCTTGCATTTCATGACAAAACTGGTCTAATGCAACAGTCAAACAGCAGGGATATCAGTACTTCTTGTGTCTGTGCCAAGATCTTGTATGATTCATTACAACAGTCAAAATTTAGATTAAAGAATCAGCTTCCATGAAGAAAATAGAGGCATTGTAGTCAGCTTTATCTGTATATCTCAAACAGATTTGATGCACCGCCATCAATCACTCATTGCCATCAGTGGATTTGAAGCCTTGCCATCAGTCTGAGAGCTACTCCAGAAACCTCAGTCATTAGCAGGGTGGTGAGCAGAAGAGGCTGAATTTGAAGCTTGGGGCAGAATAATCTAGTTGGATGAGATTATTGACTGTTTAAAAAGCAGAAGATATGATCTATTACTCTCCCATTCAAAAAGCTGTCCATGTTCAGGTAGGATACAATCTGCAGCAGATGCTTTAATCCACTCGATGACAGGATGCTTACGTGCTATCTTGCTTCTAAAATTCTGAAAAGTCTGATAGTAGAGATGTGGCTTACCCACTTTTAATTCTAGCTCTAAAAACCTTTTTGTGGATGTGCGAAATTAAATTGCAGTTTTCCTTGACAATATCAGGTTCCCTAGCTGTTTGGGATAATAGGTATCACAGATAAATGGACTACGTGATGTCTCAACAGTAGCTATCAATTTTTCATTTCAACTATATTTCAACTATACTGTATTAGAAGGCTGTTATTCAGCATCATTCCCAAGGAAAATACACACAGCTGGAGAATTTCACACAATTTCAGGTAAAGAGAGGAAATGCCTTCCATTGGTTATTTTTCCTCAAGCTCAGAAACCACTCAAAAGCACCATCATTAATGTTGCACTTTCTTCTACATTTCTGAAAACTCATTTTATTTATAAAAAGTTGAGAATTCCAGTTCAAGACTGTAGTACATTTATAGTGGGGCTGTGGTTTCTTTTTTATTTATTTTTTTTTTTAAAGAGACTGCTGTAATTGAGTTATATGCCCCATTTCCTGAGATTCTTAGCTAAGGAAACATTAGTAGTACTCCTATAATAAATGATATGAACGCAGAATTTAGCTAAGAAAAAAAAATCTGAACAACAATAATTAATAGCATAAGAAGCATTCGGCTATAAGAGGGCATAATAGCCAACACATATCTGAAACTGAAAACAGAGAACTGGGAGACAGAATAGGAACACTGTTTGCAGTAAAGCTATGAAAAAACTGAAAGGAGAAATTGAGACTGACAGTGTCAAACACTGAAATAGGTCAAAAATATTTTTCCTAGAAACAAGCTCTGCAATTCCAAAAGAAATCCATTTCAGAGAACTAGAAAAAAGGCTTGGCCACTGGAACAGGCTTCCCAGGGGAATGGTCACAGCAGCAAAGTTGACAGAGTTCAAGAAGCATTTGGACAATGCTCTCAGGCACATAGTATGACTCTTGGAGTATCCTGTGCAGGGCCAGGAGATAGATTCAATGATCCTTGCAATCCCTTCCAACTGTGTGCATGCTTGTAAAAAACATAGCCAGTTTCTAACACATCAGGGCATAAATAAAAAATGTAGGAGTCTGTTGTTCTGGGATTTTGGAATGCATGGTTCCTCATTTCTTCCAAGCAGTATTTCAGGAGGACAGTGGGCATGGCTGAAAATGAATCTCCACAGAACAAGAGAGAATTTTTAATGGTTTATGGGGGGAAGCCATCAAAAGCCTAAAACAAATTTACAGGTTGTCAATTAATTCATCTGCTTCTCAATAATGCAAAATAAAAACTACTACAAGGCAATTCTGGTTTCCACAAGTAACAATAAAAAAGCCCCACAGCCATAAAATGCTCCTCAGCAATGTGCAAATCATAGGCACATGCATGAATATAGTATGGGATCAGCCAAAATCCAGCACCCACAAGAGAGACAAGACTATGGGTGGCGAAAGAATTTGCTCAAAGAATTTACTCATATTCTTTTGTAAAAAACCAATTACTTTCAGGATATTGGAGTTTAAGACTACATTAAACTGGTATAAATATTTACAGAATATTTATTAGTCATGTTGCATGAACAGGCTTCACACTTGAGTAACCTTCAAGCCCTTCTTCATGATTTCTTTGCAATTTCGGTTTAAGAAAAATCACTTCCCGTCAGTAACTAAAATGCAATACAATCTTGTGCACCCTTGCTGGATAAGATCTTTTCTCCTCTTTTTGGCTAATAAGTAAGGGTCTGCTGCACTACTTCAATCCCAATTTCTTCCCATGCCCTTTCAAATATATGACAAATGAGTCAGTCTCTGGTGAAATGTCCATTTTTTGTTATCTCCCCAAGACTTTGCATTCACACAGCATTAATCCTGCCTGCACTCTTCCGGCTCCCAAGTCACTGCATTACAAGCCAGAAAACATTAGAGCTTCCACATTATTAGATACATACCACTGATATGTCAGAAACACAAATATATAAAGTCAGAGCCTAGATCCTTGAACAGGATTATGAACAAATGAACAGAGACTACCTCAGCAGAATGCCAGAGTACTTGACACTTGCAAACAACTTAAAAGAACACTCTTTTGAGAGCAGGGTCTGCAGAAATCTCCAGGTGTGAGCAACAAATGAAAGAAACATATAGAAAGGGTGGAAGAGGGCATGCTCGCTCATGGAGATATGTAACACCTCAGTGCTCCCCAGGATCCCAACACTGGGGTATTTTGTACTTTAAAAATAATGTGCCTTCTGTTTTTATTAAGACAAATTATTTAATTGGAAAATCTGTAATGAAAATGTGCTGAATAATATGGTGTCATTAAATATGAAGCGTGGAAAAAATTTAAGCCTGACTTGAAACATAATAAAAATACTATAAAAATAAGTAATAATTTCAAATCTTAGTACATCTTCAAACAGTTTTTGAAAAATTGCAGAGTGCATGTATTTCAAAAAGTCAAGGCTGGAACCCAAGTATCTTAGGAACCAAAGTCAGAATTTCACTTTCAAACATTATATTTAGGAGTTCTGGCTCAAATGAGTTCAAGTATTTCACGGTCAAGCAGAAACCAAGCCTTACAGGAAACAATTCTAAGGCAGCAGCTAATCACTCAGCATCTAAAGGCTGTCTCTGACATTTCTAAATATGCAAATAATACAGCAACTGATAAAGGCAAGAGTGGAGAAGGGAAAGAGAAGTGATCCAACAGCAGTATCTTGGTTTTGCCATGGCCCCACCCTAACATTAAACCTACTGAAATATTTTGTTCCTTTTATGAACTAAACTTACTGTTTATTCTAAGATGCTTTTAATTTTGCTTTTTTCATGCTAAACTGTTACTTCTTAACAAGGTGCTGCCTACCTCTATCCACAGCCTCAACTGAAAAGGACGGCCCAGCCTGACATAGCTGCTTTTTAAGCTATGTAAATTTATTATTATAGATACAGGAGAGAAGTAGATTGCACTTAAAATACATGTTGAAAAAAGTATCAGTTTAAATGCAATACACCTGTGACAAAAGAATTTTTTATTTTTACAGCAAAACTGGGTGTGCATATGTCATTCACAGCAAGTGAAGGCAAGTAATGGAGAAATCTGTAAGATGAAGCGTTCCTTCCTAATGAAAATCCACACAGACCAAGTCTTTGTGTGCAGTTAATCAATTCCAGAGCCTTTTCCTTGGGTAACAGGATACCACTTAACTCAGCCAAAATAAACTGCTTCTGCATTTTGGGAATAGACCAGAATTATGAGCTTGGTTTGACATCTCCATCACAAATACTTTATTACTACCCTGCCAGGCAACATCAGCTTTCACCACACAGCCACATAAACAGGCCAGAAAATCTATGTGCTATGAATTCTCTGGTACTGAATAGGTCAGTCAGTTCAGCCTCCTGATTCCGGCTCTTAGAAGAAACCGAGGTGAAAGGCCATAAACTCCTTTTTCCTGATGACATAAAAAAGACACACTGAGTGTGCATATTTAAAAGGACAAATCTAGGAAGAGAAATGACATTTGTATCCCACATCTCTGTAT